GGGGGGTGGGGGGGGGGGGGGGGGGGGGGGGGGGGGGGGGGGCGTACTCGTATTTTTTGTATGCCTTCGCGGATAGACCATTGACCACGCGTCCTCTAGAGGACGGAGCATTGTTCCCACAGGACCGATCACCGATGGCCAATCGTTCCTTTCTACTTTGCCAAAGGTGGCTCAAAAATGTCTTCCCTAGTCTGTCGATCCTAACGATATCTCTTCCCGCCTTTTCAACCCGCGTCCTATGCCCCAGTACAGCTACCGTCCTTTCCTCTCTATTCCATGCCTCAAACATCTCCCTGTACGTCCCATCTATTTTTCCCAGCTCAGTCACGTACAAATCCCTCTCCTTGTACAACGACATTCCGCGACTAGATGAACACGATCTTCGCATTCGAAGCCGCAAATCACATTTGAACTCGTCGTCTTCGTCGTCTACCGTCCTATGTCTGCGTCGACGTTCTCGAAGGCTTATGTCCCCGGTCCTGAACTTGACCTTAAGCTTCACAGGTGGCCAGTGGGCACGGTTGTACAGGGGCGTTGTGTAACCTCCGGCCAACCAGGCAGGGGTTATTACATGGGATAACGTGGGGGGGTTACAGGTCGAGCGAGCATAACGTACCAGGTTATGAAAGCGGTCGTGCGCGGATCGGTGTGAATGAAGGAGAAAAGAAAAAACTATCTGTGAGCCTTCCCCTCTATTGCTACATCGTATTCAACCCGTATTTATTTGTGTTATAGATTCGCAATTTCTCGCTTGGCATTACTCTACGTCGAATTGATTGGTGAAGAAAACATAACATGGGGTGGATCGAACCAGCAACTTGGGCCTGATTAATCTAACGGTTGATCGCTAAGCTTCATGTTGAAGCCTATGTCTATTGCACCAAATAAATTATACCGTATGCTTTTATAGTAGGAGGGGCGGAAACAATGGTGGCAACACCACCCACGCGGCCGATAAGAGCACACATGTACTACGCGGTCCCCCCCACGCTAGAAGCAGAAACCCCGAGTAAAGTCCTCCATTACGAACNCTATTGCTACATCGTATTCAACCCGTATTTATTTGTGTTATAGATTCGCAATTTCTCGCTTGGCATTACTCTACGTCGAATTGATTGGTGAAGAAAACATAACATGGGGTGGATCGAACCAGCAACTTGGGCCTGATTAATCTAACGGTTGATCGCTAAGCTTCATGTTGAAGCCTATGTCTATTGCACCAAATAAATTATACCGTATGCTTTTATAGTAGGAGGGGCGGAAACAATGGTGGCAACACCACCCACGCGGCCGATAAGAGCACACATGTACTACGCGGTCCCCCCCACGCTAGAAGCAGAAACCCCGAGTAAAGTCCTCCATTACGAACCGTTCAATGGCAAGTTTTTGTTCAGCTAAGTTTTTATGTTCCACAGCAGCAACATATAGTATACGAAGTATAGAATTTTTTAACAATGCTGAGCGCGCAATTGTTTTCAGCAGAGATCATATTATTATATATGTAATAATACTACATTCGACCACTAGTGTTCTATATTTTTAAGGAGACAGACGTACGTACGTGTTGTCGTATTGACTTTTACGAGAGAGGCAGCGTGTGTGTGTAGGTAGTACATCATCGCCTACTCTATCTCTCTTTTTCTCGGTANTTTAACAATGCTGAGCGCGCAATTGTTTTCAGCAGAGATCATATTATTATATATGTAATAATACTACATTCGACCACTAGTGTTCTATATTTTTAAGGAGACAGACGTACGTACGTGTTGTCGTATTGACTTTTACGAGAGAGGCAGCGTGTGTGTGTAGGTAGTACATCATCGCCTACTCTATCTCTCTTTTTCTCGGTATTTGCTTTGCCCCCCAATCGTTGCCGTGCGTGTTTCTACGCAACAATATATATATATATCAAATAGAGTAGGCCCATGTCTGTCTATGTTGCTTCCGGCACTACATCATGATCATCAGAAGATGAAGATGGCGCTCGCACTTAAGAACTTGGCGATTAAGAAATGCGGCCTCGAAAAAAAGTCAAAATCAAAGAAATTGTCGATAATAATAATTACAACAACACACGTGCGTGCTCAGGCCCGACGTGGTAAGAACAAGAACGAACCCGCATTTCTTTGTGGTGTAAGAACAGAGCCCCCAAAACGCGACAGCTGCAAGATATAATGAGCACTCACGAAGGGGTGAGGGGCTACTCGCGGGGTGAACGGTGGGCAGTTAGTTGCAGATCAGCGGCGACGAGGAGGTTCCTTTGAAAATAGTGCTGGTGGTGCGGAGATGGGGGGGGTGTACTGTTTTATTTTTGCGTGTCCAACGGTGGTAGTCAACTATAAAAAAATCGGTCTTACAAATGCCGGCACTCTTGAAGTTTTGTTTTTTTATATATGCCGCGAATGTCCGATAAATCGGTGTGTCGTGTACTCTGTGGACACCGGCTGGTACATAGTTTTCGCGGCGAGGCATGGACATTCTCGGGCTTGGACAACCTCGCCTGCAACCAAGCACGGATACAAATTTCCCTNAAAGGTGCGCCCGACCGGGTTACGCAGGTTGCACAACGCCTAGGGGTTACATGTCACGTTAACCCCCCCGTAACCGTGCCCACTGGCCACCTGTGTTTGTTCCTGCATCCGTTGGTCCATGTAGGTAATCCTTGAACCAACCCTATTCCTTCCTTCAACATTCCGTACACTTCTAGACCCTCCTTATCCTTG